GAAAAATTATAGTAAAATGCATTAAAAGGAGAACGTCTATTACTTTAAAAAAACTCTAACTTACATTTGTGTTTGGGTCTCTTGACATTTTAAAACCTACAGTTTGAGTCCCAGCTACAACAATTTCACTTTACATTTTAAAAGCCTACATTATTTTCCTAGCTTCTGCACTCTCTACTAGTCATTACACAATGATTACATTACACTAATGGTGACTAATTTTGGAGACTTCAAGAATTCTCACACCTGTGCTATGAAATATATATCAATCCTCAGTGTAACACAATCCATTATTTATGAAAACACACTATAAAGTATGTGAACACAGACATTTTCCTGGACACAGCAGCCATATTTACTTGTAGATGAAGTATATGTGTATAGTACCATTCCCTCTGACTACATTGAAAGGATTTAAAAACATAAACTCACAATCTCAGATCACTTATTTCAGATTACTGGACCAATCATTTTATTTATGAAAAATGGATGTGACAATCTTGTCAGAAAGAGTTAAAGGTATAATTTAGTCTTTATTTGACTGCACATTTATATTCCTCCCTTACAATTTTTCTCTACTTATTCATTGCCTGAAATTGAATAAATAATTGAAATATCTGTTACTATTCAAAAGCAAATCTGTCTGTAAACTGCCTTTAAGAAATTAAACTATCATATTTTGTCTAATAAACTTTTTTTTAAAGATCTACTTATTTATACAAAACCAGGGTACAAGCCAGATGTGCAGGAGGGTGAGAGGATTCACCAGAGGCAGAGCGGAGCACAGAACAGGCAGACTGAAATACACTGCTGAGGGGAGTAGCGGGAGAGACAGGAGAGGTCTGACACACCATATGGGTATCTCGCCGGCCAGCAGGGATCAAACCGGCACTGCAGAGGCTGTGGACAGCTTCACAGCACTGCACTCAACCGCCTGCACCACCATGGAGGCCCTGTCTAATAAACTTTTTTTTTTAAAGATTTATTTATTTCTTATTTATACAAGCACTGGGTACAGTCAGAAGCGTGGGAAGGTAAGAGAATTCACCAGAGCCAGAGCAGGGAGCAGAGCAGGCAGAAGGACCGAAGTACACTGCTGAGGGGAGCAGTGGGCGGCAGGAGAGGTCTGCGCGCCATGTGGGACCCTCCTCCGGTGGCTGGGGAGCAGCCAGGGATGGAACCGGTGCTGCAGAGGCTGAGGGCAGCTTCGCAACCCAGCACTCAACCGCTGTGCCACCGGGGAGGCCCACCTGTCTAATAAACTTTTATGTACAAATACCTTTCACAAATGAAATTGGGGCAAATCTTTTGCTATTATTTATATACTCTGCTGAGTTTATATTTAAATATTCTCCATATTCAAAAGTTGTATTCATCCAACATCTCAGGACACTGGAAATTATTAAGATTTACCAAATGGACAACAATAATCTTATAGCAAATGACAATTTTGTGGGGGAAAAATGACTTGGCCACAGGAACCCAAATATCCCAACTACACAAAAATAATATCAAAACTGAAAAAAGGGACTAATACTTCTGCAAAAACAGAGTAGATATACTTCCCTTATTCCTCCTGCTAAGTACATCTAAAAACCTTGGACAATGTATATAAAACAAATAAAAGATTCTCAAAAATAGAGAGAAGAAAGCAGACCAGTCAGGAGCCTTGGAAGATGAGGAGCAGCTAGTTGGTCACCTGGGATTTTTTTTGCCTCACATATATCAGATTTGTAACAAGAAGAACTCAGCTGTCCAGAAATACACACATCTAAAAAGCAATAAGGGCATATTGCTGTCTTAGTTTGTTAGGGTTGTTATAACAAAATGCCACAGCATATATTTATATATTTTTATATATATTTATATGTATTTATATAGCGGCATATATTTATTTCTCAGTTTCTGAAGACTGAAAGTCCAGCCTTTGGTTTCACACAGTAGAAAGGGCAAGGGGTCTCTCTGGAGCTTCTTTTATAAGGGCACTATTTATAAAGGCACTAATCCCATTCACCTCCCAAAGGTCCCACCTCTCTGTACCTTCACATTGGGGATTAGAATTTTGAACGACACGAATATTCAGAAAAATCATATGATCATATCAATGGACACAGAAAAAGCATTTGACAAAATTCAATACCCACTCATGATAAAAATTTGAAAAATTAGAATACAGGGGAACTTCCTCAACTTGATAAAATGCATTTACCAAAGGTCTACATCTAATATTATTTTTAATGGTTAAAAACTGAATGCTTTCCCACTATGCTTGGGAAGAGAATGCCTGTGCTCATCCTTCTTATTCAACATAGTGCTAGGATATCTAGCCAGTCCAAAAATGCAAGGAAATAAAAGTAGACATTGTAAAGGAAAAATTAAAACTCTCTCTGTTCACAAATGACATAATTATTCATACAGAGAATCCCCAAAGAATGAACAAAAAAATCCCCTAGTCTAATAAACAATTATAGCAAAGTTGTAGGATACTAGATTAACATACAAAAATCAGTTGTTTTCTTATATACTAGGAAATTAAAATTAAAAACACTATGCCTTTTAAATTAACACCAAAGTGAAATGTCCAGATATAAATCAATATATGTACAAAATCTATATGAGGAAAACTGAAAAACCTGCATTACAAAATCAAAGATTTAAATAAATGGAGAGAGATTCATGGACTCACGCAATATAAAGATGTCAGTTATTCCCAACTTAATCTATAAATTCAACACAGTCCTAACTAGTTACTAGTGTGGCTATCAGCGAATTGATTCTGAAGTTTATATTGAAAAGTGAAATACCCAGAAAAATCAATGTACTACTGAAGAACAAAGGTAGAGGACTGATACTACTACTATACAACTTCAAGATTTACTATAAAGCTACAGTAAATGGGCAGCAGTCCTTCTGCCCACCTGTGACTACGCAGGTGCTTGTTTTCACCAGCTCTCTCCCTCTGCAGGGCAGCAGCCTCCTGCCTGCCCAGGACCTGTACCATGCCGGGGACTTCTCTTCACTGACCCCCTTAGCAGAGGCAGCTCTCCTCAAAGCTGCCCACCTGCAACCACGCAGGCCTCTCTCAGCAAACCTGACCCTTCCAGGGTAGCTCTTCCTGCAGGCTTGTGTCTATGCAAGCATCTTTTACTGCTCTGTCCCTTTTCTAATACACCTGCTCTTTTTTTTTTTTTTTTTTAGAGGCATGTTTTATTTATTTATTTGTTTGTTTGTTTTGTTTATACATGCACTGGGTACAGTCAGAAGCACGGGAGGGTGAGAGAATTCACCAGAGCCAGAGCGGGGAGCAGAGCAGGCAGAAGGACCCAAGTACACTGCTGAGGGGAGCAGCGGGCGGCAGGAGAGGTCTGCGCGCCATGTGGGACTCTCCTCCGGTGGCCGGGGAGCAGCCAGGGATCGAACCGGTGCTGCAGAGGCCGCGGGCAGCTTCGCAACCCAGCGCTCAACCGCTGCGCCACCGGGGAGGCCCTAATACACCTGCTCTTTAAGTGAAAAAAAAAAAAAAAGCTACAGTAAATAGATGGGCAGAGATCCGTGCTTGTGTATTTCCATAACCATGGTGATGATAACACGTTACTGAAATAGGCCGAGAGAGAGCAGTTGGGGAAGATTATTGTTTTCTTCAAACCACTTAGCACAGTTTGAAGAATTATCATCATAATGTATTATTTTGTACATTCTTAATAATAAAATTTAATAAATATTTGCATGTGCAAACCATCCAGCGCACCATTCCAGACACATGTTCTAGGGCATACGCGGAGGCTGGAGACAGTCTATATAGCTTCAAACTCTATGCAGTGCATTATTTTTTTTAATATTTTATTTTATAAAATTCTTACATCATTTTTCATCTTTGCCCAATGTATGCATTTTCATTTTGGTTATATTCCCCATACAATTATGCAGTGCATTATTGACCTCAATTAAATGCTGTAATTTTTTTTCTATTTTTTTTAATTATGGTAAAATACACATACACTTTTCCACCCTATTTTCAAGCGCACAGTTCTGTGGTAGTAAACACCGGGCCAGCCCTCTTCCAGCTGTTAGAGGGCAGCCCCTTAGGCCGTCCTTTCCCCCTAACACAGCCAGACCCCGGGCCCGCGGCCGCCCAGCACCAGCCAACAGCGCCCCCTGGCGGGCGGAGCAGCACCAGGCCGCTCCCCCGAGAGACCGCCCACTCGGGCTCCTTCCAGCCCCCATTAGGAGGAGCTTCCAAGAACGGGTCCTTCCACCCGTCCATATTTTTTGTCAGCCAGTCATCGCCGAGTACCTTCACGTTTTCTTCGCCCTCTGCCGACTAGAGCGCTTCACAGCCAATCCAGGCTCTCGCCCCCGCTTAGCACCGCCTCTCCGGAGGGCGCATGCGCAGCCGGTGGGGCCGGGGCGGGGCGGGGCCTCGGGGCCGGAAGTCCTCGTTCGGGCGGGGTTGTCCCGCGCAGCCTCAGAAGGACTCACACCTCTCGTTTGGCCCAGATGTTTTTGGGGTCCTGAATGGGAATTCTGCCCAGGAAGGTCGTGTCTGCTTAGGCAGCTACACTTGTCTCTAGGGTGTACTGGACAGCAGATGAGGGTTCAGAGTAAGCTGGGCCGTTCCTAAGAATCCCTTTTTTGAAGAAGGGGACTTTTGTAGGGGAATGACCACTCCAATGGGGAGGATAGTTTCAGGAGGAGGTTGATCAAAACCTGTCACACCTGAAGATAGCTGCCTTCCAGCAGAGGAAGTGTACCCTGGGCAGAAACTGCCTACTGTGCCTGCTGGAGCCTTTTCTTCTGTGGCAACAAGCTCCACTACCCTGAGCAGAATAGATTTCTGTCAGTTTAGGTAGGGGTGCTGACTCCCTGCGCAATTGAAAAATCAAAAATCTGAGTATAACTTTATTCCCCCAAAACGTATCTACTGTATACATTATAAGTAACAAGCCAGACTAGACCATAAGTAAATGTATACAAGATCATGACAAGAAAACTGACAAACATCAAAGGAGAGAACTATTCAAGTAAAAAGGTTTCAGTACATTTTATTCATAATGTAGCCATATTCAAGATGTAGCAGGCAATGTCCTACTAAGTTCTTGGTGGTAGTAATGAAAAGGTAGTTTTTATTCATTATCCTTCCCAGTCTCACAATCAGAAGCAATCTTTGATTTTTTAGATGTTTGGTAAGCTTGTATAATAAGTCTTAGATGATTAACGATTTCCTTGTTTGCTGCTTTCTTGTTAAATCCCAATATCTTCATAATAGTTTCTCGAAAGTCAACAAGCTACCAAGAATGACCACAAAAATTAAGGGATATTGTTAGTTTTGGTCACCTACTTACTGCATACAATGAAATTGGTACTAGAAACTTAATCTTATTCAGCATTTTTAATCTTATTCAGCATTTTTAATGAGATTTAATATGGTATCTTCTACTACAAGAACTCTTTTACATTTCCTTTTCATTTTAAGAATTTATTTTTCCACTTTTATATTGTTGCTTGTCTTTCATCCCTAAGGTAAATACTTTTTGGACTTCTGATTTGCTGGATAGTGACATCAAGAGATCTCTTCTCCCATCCAAAAAAACCATAATGGATCAACAAGGAGAAAAGATCAAACCACCCATAAATCATACCTACAGTATAAAAAGAGAATATCACAGACCAATTTGCATACAAGTGGGGAAATAAAGGTCCTAAGTCAGCAGAGGCAACTCTAGAGTTAATGCTGGAGAATGCAGATGGTTTCCACTGGTCCAGAAATGGGACAGTTCATAAATAGGGAAATATAAAGAACAAGTCTGACCTGATAGATCAGAACAATGGCAGGTGGAGAAGGAAAGAAAGGGACTTGGAACTACATGCAAACAAGTGGCAATTCTAAAGGACAAGGTTTCTGAGGAGTGAAAGATATACTTGGAAGGGCAAGGTGTTCTTTAAAGGCTTGGTCAAAAAGGAAAAGAAAAATGCAAACAGTGTAAATTAAGGGATTAAATAAGTATTGCAGAATTAAACATTACATAAACCCCCACAGCCAAATGAAATACAGTAAACATTAAAAAGTACTCATTGTGCCAACAGAAGAGGGTGGTATTGAGTCAAGAAACTAGTGAGTAAATCTAGCACCCTAACTTACAAGGTAGAAACACCTGAAAGTGAGAGGACAGAGCAATTAAAGGAATTTTAAAGTGAATACACAAATAGCAGATATCCATCCAAATAAGAAAAAACACAGTATCAAATATCATCCAAACAGTTCAGAAGATGAAAATACTCCCCCTTACACCCTCCAAATAGTTCTGACAAAGAAGAAACACGTTTGACACAAAACCAATAACAATGAAATGTCAGTTAAACAAAGATTGCAGACATGGGAGAAAACACATCTTTCTTTTGAATCAGAAATATAATTAATCTGAATAGAAATGGACCAAAAAAATTCCTGAGATGCTTAATGGATAAGCAACTCAGGCAAGAACAAAATCATATCAGAAATTAAGAGTAAATCACAAAGTCGCTAAATGAGATCTGACTAAGGAGAAAAATTCAATAAAGTCAATATATGCAGAAATTAAAGAAAGATAAATGATGATATTATTTTATGTGTCTGTTGATTAGTTAAAGCTGCATGTTTCTTAAGTAACTAATAAATAAAAATGTGACATACAATTCTCTAATACCTCCAAATTAAAATTTTTCTTAAAATATCTGCTTTATATAGTGGAAATCTAAGCAATTTTAGAAGTGCCATCCTCTTGTCATAGAAAGTGACCCAATCCCAAACATAGTGTCCCTGAACTTCCATTTTATCATATTCTTACTCTCCTTGTCATTGGTTAGTCAGAGAATATCTATGCAAACCTAAGCTACATAATCACATATCCCATCCTTCACCACTTTGGATTCACTAGAGATAGGCATTTGACCTGCGGTGGATAATAATACCCTCTCTTAGGATTCTTTTTCCTGTCACAGAAACTATGTATAAAACTCCATGATCGTCAAACAGACAAGCTGACATACACAGAGAAGGCAGAGAGAGATGGTGAGAAAGTCTTATAAGGTTTCAGATGCTAAACCTGGGGCCCAGATGCATCTCTGCCTTCCCAGAGTTCTAGTGGTTTAATTTGCCATTGATTACAAAAGCCAATATATTCCTTTTCGAGTAGAGTCTAAGTTGGGGTGGGTGTTTATCACCTAACTTACTTAAGGAATCTTAGCATAGAAACCAAAACAGAACAAAACACCTCTTGTCCTGATACTTCTTCACGTGGGCTCTTTGATGTGCAGAGCTCAGGAATGACAATGTCTAAGGTCTGATGGGCTCGCTCTTTGTCCCTTCTTGCCTCTTGCTCTGCAGAGTCTAATGTAATTTTCAAGTTGTCTGTTTTCATAACTGCCTTCCCTTTCATTGCTTCAATTTTTATTAAAGATCGTCTGAGCTTTTTCATTGTTTTGTCCTATGAGGATATAAAGTTGAGAAAAGAGACTTCTAAATAGATAGCATGATACATGATTACACATTCATTTTTTTTCCTCGAAGTGCTAGATATAAAGAAGATTCCACAATTTGTAGATTAGAGGACATTTCTCTACCATCATTTTCACCAATAACCAACATTCATTGAGCACTTTTATAAACTAGGCATTTGGGATTTAAAGAGATTTAACACATACCCCATGTCCTCAAAAGTCTTGCAGATGGAGCTAATCAAATATAGAAAGCTAATTGGTCTGCAGTGAGAGTAATATTGCTGATAAATTCGCAAAAAGTTGATCAGTAATTACTTTGTATCTTTAAGGTATAAAATGTATGCTTGAATACTACAACTGAAGCTTGATAGAGAAATCCAAAAAGGAGGCCCAAAATGACTAAAACAATAATAAAGACAAAAATAAGACTAAAACACAAAAGCAAGGTATCTAGAATCCTATTATTTAGAATACCAGTTACGTTGCAACAGTAGGGAGGAGGGTATATGGGGGCTCCAGGAGGATTAATAATACTCTGTTTCTTAAGATGAGTGGGAAATTTGCAGGCATCCAACATTATTATTCTATATGAATAATATTAAATATATTCTTTTATATGTATGTAGAATAATTTTAAAGTTATTTTCTTAGAAGTTCAGTGAGAAACACGTAGCTAAAATAATAATAGAGCAAAGCTTAAGTAAAATCTGAAAAAACTTTACTTCCTTTACTTACTTTAAGGATATTTACTTTTGTCAGTTGGGTTTTCATATTTTTATTAGCCAGTTTCAAATCACTGAGCTGTTTCTGAAGTTTCTGAATTTTCTCTTCTAATTTTTGAGTTGTATCCATCTGCAAATTTTGCTGAGTATTCCACAGTGTTTGTTGTTTGTTGTCTTTCTCTAACTGTTTGAACATCCTGTGCTCCTCTATCTGGGAATTTTTAGTCTCTGTGTTTTCCTTTGCAGAAATCAACAATGTTGAAGTAAGAAATTATGCTTCAAAGTGGTGTTCTACACTATCATACCAGGTTTAAAGCAAATTATTTTTTCACCATAATGTGCATCATTAAAATAATCCAGAAAATAAGATATAGTCATAGAAGTGATGGTTCAATGCTAGCAAGTTAGAGTTAAGCAGACAATTCTATAAACATTAAGTGGTACCTTGGATCAGTTCATCTTTCCTAAGAATATATTATAAGGATATAATTAAATATTTATTTTGTTTTTTTTTAAGATTTATTTATTTATACATACAAGAACCGGGGTACAGGCCAGATGTGCGGGAGGGTGAGAAGATTCACCAGAGACAGAGCAGGAACAGAACAGGCAGACTGACTGAAATACATTGCTGAGGGAGGGGAGCAGCGGGCGAGACCGGAGAGGTCTGCTGCACCATGTGGGTATTTCCCCACCCGGCTGGGATGGAACCCGCACTGCAGAGGTTGCAGACAGCGTCATAGCACTGCACTCAACTGCCTGCGCCACCAGGTAGGCCCTCTAAATATTTAGATAAAGATTCATGCACAAAGATATTCTTTAGAACAGTATAACATTAAAAAATAAAAACAATGCAAATGTCAAAAAGAATAATTAAATGATATATAATTGATTATACATTATGGAGAAATCATTTTCAAAGATATTTACTGAGAAAATGCTAATTATATAGTTAAATGAAAGAAACAGATTGAAGAAAAATTATGTCTATGTTAATACATGCATGGAACATAATCAGAAAGGAGTGTCATATATGTTAACCCTGATAATGTCAAAGTGGTAGAATTACTGGTGATTTTAATTATATTCTTTCAACTGTTTCATACTTTATGAAGTTACTTTCATAAGAAAAATAGAGTACAAAAGGGTGCAGATATAATAAAGACATTATATTTTCATTATATAAAAACAAAAAGCCAGTAAATTGTGTATGGGAAAAGAACTACTGGTTCTCTGGAAAGATACAATAGATGCCCAGGCAAATTTAACTAAACAGTCAAAATCTCTTGAAAAAAAATATACTGTATCCAGGCTATTTCCATCCCATTTTTAGGATTGAGATTTTCCTTACAGATACAGAGAAGCAGAAAGTAGAGAAGGTACTTTGAGCTCCTTTCCCTGTAGTCCTCTTTTTCAAGTACATTAAGAAATATATTAACAGGGCCTCCCTGTGGCACAGGCGGTTGAGTGTCGCACTGTGACAAAGAACAGTCTTATACTTCAGGTAACTCTTACTTTATCCCTGTCCAAGTCTAATCTCCCTTGAAAAAAGTCAGTAGTGGCAATTTTTCCTTCCAGATGTTTCAAAGGTCTTTTTTGTTCCCTACACTTTTTTTCAGTTTGGGATAATTCTTGAACACATGCTTCATAGTGTTGATGGAGCTGATCCAGTCGCTCAGTGAGCATCTGAATTTCCTGCTGAAGGCCTTCAGTTCTCTGTAGGGGAAAAAAAGTAGATAAAACTTCCTGATGGTGCACCATTTCTATTTCATTTCAAAACAATGTGCAGATTCTACTTATATTGACATTGTAGCAACATTGTTACTTGATAAACTCATAGGGAAGCAATGTAAGGATTGACAGGTATAAGCTACTCTGTAAAAAAGAAATGTTTGATGTATACAAAAATAAGACATTCTCAGTTAGTACTGAGAAATAAATGTATGATGCATTTTAAGACAGCAGAGTATAAAAACATTGGAACACTACAATAGACTACTACTGTGTAGCAGGTTACTCTAACACATTGAATTTTAGAAATACCTATCTCCATTTGAATTTTAGGGTGTAAACTCACGAAAATTTTATTAGAATGCCTTAGACACAACAAGGCAATATATACACTTGAACCTGCTGGTTTAATCTTTTCATAGGTTTGACCAGTATATTCAAACAAATGACTGATTTCACTATTTTACTGCAATGATCGAAGTGACCAATGTTTAGTCATCATGGAAACACTATCTTCACCATACCACTATTTTTTAAGGTATCATTCATTGAGGCTTACAACTGAAAAATACTAAGCATTTATCATGAATTAACCCAATTAATCCTTATAACCACTCCTTATGAAAGGAAATACGCCATGTCCCATGCCCCACTTCACCCCCATTCCTGTCAAATTTCACAAATGAAATGAGGCAGAAAGGGTAAGTAACTAATCAAGAGCACAGAGCTGGCAATGGCAGAGTCGGGATTCATACTGAGCTCTCTGCTCTTAACAAAGACCCTCTACTACCTCTGCGGTAATAATAGATATCTTCCCTTTTATCACAGTACTAATAAAAGTAAGATCAAAATTGGAATACAAAGCCTTTAGCATTTACTAAATTGGCTTAAATTCAAATCCCCATCTTAAAAGAAATTAATTTAAAATAACTTTTCTATCAGTATACTTACAAACTTCCAAGATTGCTCATTTGCACTAATTTCCTGAATCCTCCCTTTCACAGCTTCCTCTGTGGCAGGTATGGGGTCCATACTGTTGCTCAGAAGAGTAGCCAATTCACCAAGGAATTTCTGATAGTGGGATTCCACAGTTTTAGTTTCCCAGCTGAATGAACAAGGAGGTCTATCTAGCTCATATTTTTGTTTTTCTTTATGGAACAAATCTCGTTGACATTTATCCCAAATTTTCTGTAGATCTTTTGGTCCTTCAGAGTGAAAAATGTTGTCTTGCTCTATGTTCTTGGGCAGGATGGCTTCACTGTTCTCCTACATGTGCCAACATATATGTTAAACTTTCCATTTTAGATATCTACTTCCCTTCTTTTGAAATATAAGTATAGTCATAACACAAAACTTCAGAGTAAATGGCCCTCATTAAGAAAGAGTTAATGAGTAGTAAGAAAGTCAAATGCACACTAAATAAAGCAAAGTAGTAAATCAAGGGATATTAAAATGATGGTATCAAACCATCTCACACCTGTAAGAACTGCCCATATCAAAAAGACCAGTAACAATAAATGTTGGCGAGGATATGGAGAAATAGGAAACCTATACTGTTGGTGGGAATGTAGACTGTTCCAACCCCTGTGGAAAACAGTATGGGGGGTAGGGAGGTGTTCTCAAAAGATTAAAAGTAGATCTACTATATGACCCAGCAATTCCACTCCTAGGTATCTACCCAAAGAATAAAAAAAAAAACACCAATTTGAAGAGATATATGCACTCCTGTATTCACTGCAGTACTAATTACAATAACCAAACTATGGAAAAAAATCTAAATACCCCAAAACACTTGAATGGATCAGGAAGATGTAATATATATATATATATATATATATACACATATATACACAATGGAATACTATCCAGCTTAGAAAAAAGGAAACTTGCCATTTGCAACAACATGGATGGGAATGGAGGGGATTATGTTAAGTGAATAAGTCTGAAGTGACACCAGGTGGTGTCACTTATAGGCAGAATACAGAGAACCAAAACAAAACAAACAAAAGGGTAGAATAAAGTCAAAACAATAAGAAATTCTAGAAATCTGACTGTAGAAGTAAGGCTATCAGAATGGGGCAGGGAGCGGAGAGGACAATGGACTACGGTGGAGGACGATGGTTGTTTTGGTGGTTCGAATGCAGTGGTAACAACACTTGAATGGGGAGATCCTACACCTCTAAAATACAAACAACTTTGTAAACAAATGTTACCTCAACAAAACAAATAAAAATAAAACAATGGTACTGAGGAACCAAACAGTCTCAGTATATGAAGGTAAACTCTTTACAGAAAAACTTGAGGTAATCAATACAGGAAGAATGGTAAAAATTAAAACCCAGCATTTTGCACTCCTAATGAAATAACTGATTCCAGCAAGGGAAATGCTAACACAATTAAGGGAAATGGCTATTTTCATAAGATTTAGTTATTTCATAAAGAATGAATTAATGTTAAAGAACATCATTTAATAATAATAACTTTGTAATTAAAGAAGTTACATTCCTTTCCACCAACCTTTCATTTCCCATATGCCTCTGCAATCATCCTGCTTCCATTGTAAAGTGGTGGGGGAAAATAACATTTCTTCTTTTCCCAACCTCCCATGGAACAATTCTACTGTTATAAATTCTAGCCATCTTTCCACCTTCTGGCCATCTTTAACTCTGAGAGTGAAGTGAAAGAGTACAGTTTCAGGGCATTTTGTCAAATAAAACTGGCAAGTAGAAGGAGAGCTAGAATTGGTGAAGTAATATGGTTTGCATCAATAAATACCAGAAAAAAAGGAGGTAGAATAAAGAGCAATGGAAGATCAAAGCTACCAAGGGCTCTGCTTTGGGAGTTTTCCAGAGATGTGACAGATTTGTAATAGAAGTGGATAAAAAAGGGAAGTATTACTGTGAATTGCTTGGAAGAGGCAACTGAAAATTGGAATTACTTGAAACTACTTCAAAGTAGTTGTTAAATTCTTTTATTTAAATTTTTTAATTAATGTAAGGGCACATAATTGTATCATCATGGACTTTATTTTACATTCATATTATATGATAAACTGCTATAGTCTAAGGATTTCAGAATAAACTTTCATCTCTTCCTTGAAATAGTCCATCCCCCATCCTCCTCCAACACTATTCTATAAAACATTCTCATCCTCCTATGAAATGCTATCTACCAGTGACAGGCTCACTTTTTCCTTCTAAATTCAACTTACACCATTAAATTTAGATTTTAATGTTCAGTGTAGACGATACACCAATTTAGTTTTGTGACTCTTGGGCCTCAGATTCAATGTGCCTCATTTTCACTTACATCCTCGCCAACCCTTAAACCCAGAACCACAAACCCAGATTTTGTCAGCACAGGAACGAACCCACATCAGAGATTTAACTCCAATATTTTACTCTCAAACCACCACTCCACCTAACTCTCTCATAGGCGCCATTCCCTCTCACCATTTCCTTCAGTGTCACAGAAACCTGCATATCCTGCTTGCATTTTCTCTCCATACCCCACCGAGATTTCCAGTTAACCAGCCTGCACTGCTTTCTTTGATCCTCCATAAAAGAAGAACCAATGAACTACCTAAATTTGTCAATTATCTGCTGGTGTAACACAAGGTAATGAAATCTTGTTTCTTCAAAAAAAAAAAAAAAATCAAAATTTATTCTTACCTTTATCATGAAACTATCCAAGAAATCTTCTTGTCCATTGATATTTATAAGTGGGATGAATCTGCTACCACCTGCCAACTTTTTCTCCAAAAGGTTTGCTTTTTGCTCTGCCTTTTCTCTTTCAAGCAGATGTACTCTGGTAAGAAATCGTAGGTAACAACTTCATGAAGTCAACTGAAACAATGTTCATATTTTAATATAAGTAGGGCCTCCCTGGTGGTGCAAGGGGTTAAGCAAACTATGAAGCAATCTGCAGCCTCTGCAGCACAAGTTCGATCCCTGGCTGGCCAGGGAGCTATCCACATGGCACAGCAGACCTCTCCTGACGCGCCCACTGCCCCCCTCAGCAGTATATCTCAGTCAGTCTGCCTGTTTTGTTCCTCGCTCTGTCTCTGGTGAATCCTCTCACCCCCAGCATCTCTGACTGTACCCCAGCTTTTGTATGCATAAATATTAAAAAATAATAATAAAAGTATCTCTCATCTAAAATACATCAAATATGTGTCAAGTGAAACTGTATTTCTTATAAAAAATGCTGTGAAGTTATCCAACTATTTTTAAGGAGAGACTAAAAATGATAGAAAAATGGAGAGAAAATAACTTCATGTCTTGCAGTAGTTCCTTTGAGGAAGGCCAAATTTGAAACCATCCTTTTCAAGGGGAAAATTGGGTCTGAATATCTGTCTACAATGCCAACAATATCATGTTGATCAGAAGGTTCCACAAGGATGAAAGTATTCCTATTTTAGGAAGAACAAAATGGAATTTCCAGGGCCTCCCTGGTGGCACAAAGGGTTAAGACACAATCTATAAAAGTATCTTCAGCCACTGTAGTACAAGTTCAATCCCCGGCCAGGGAGCTACCCACATGGCACAGCAGACCTCTCCTGACTTGCCCACTGCTCCCCTCAGCAGTGTATTTCAATTTGCCTGTTCTGTTCCCCACTCTGTCTCTGGTGAATCCTCTCACCCCCTACACATCAGACCTATACCCCAGCTCTTGTATGTATAAATAAATAAATCTTCAAAAAAAAAAAAAAAGAATGGAATCTCCAACTGGGATCTGATGAGAGGGTAATCACTTGATTACCAATGGCTAGAAATTGGTAATATTTTTGACCCTGAAATTAAAGTCTCAGTTCATCTTCCATGTTTTTAGGCTCTCTTGAATCCTACATAATTAGTGAATTTAAGTGAGGACAAAAGAAAATGAATTAGCGACAAAGAATATTTTAATTCAAAAAATTATATTAGAGATATGTAGGACATACTCAAAAGGTCTAACATATCTCACACTTCAGTGTAGCCTTAGAATGTGAGTAGAAACAGATGGGACAGAAATACTTGAAAAAATAAGTCCAATAATTTTCCAAACCTCATAAAAGACATCATTTGCAACAATCAATAAGTTGTACACATCCGGGGCCTCCCTGGTGGTGCAAGGGGTTAAGACACAACCTATGAAGCTATTTGCAGCCACTGCAGCTCGAGTTCGATCCCCATGGCACAGCAGACCTCTCCTGTCTCGCCCGCTGCGCCCCTCAGCAGTATATTTCAATCTGCCTGTTCTGTTCCCTACTCTGGTGAATCCTCTCACCCACAACTCTGGCCTGCACCCCAGTTCTTGTATACATAAATAAATAAATCTTAAAAAAAAAAAAAAGTTGTGCACAACCTAAGCAGGACAGGTACAAAGAAATACCAAGACACAGCATAGTCAAATTGCTACCAATTTTATAGATACAGTCATGTAAAGAATAACACTTCAGGGCCTCCCCTGGTGGCACAGCAATTGAGCACTGGGCTGCGAGGCTGCCCGCAGCGCTGGTTTGTTCCCCGACCGCCAGCGAGGGCCCCACAAAAAAAAAGAATAACATTTCAGTTAACAATGGATTGACTATATATACATAGGAGGTCCCTATATGTAGCCTAGGTGTGTGGTAGGTTATATCACGTAGGTTTGTGTAACCACACTTTATGATGGTCACACAACAATGAAATCACTTAATGGTGCAGTGTTAAATGATCATAATCATATGAAATGTCCATAAAAGAAAAATCTATAGAGAAACAAAGTAGATTGGTAGCTGTCAGTGACTGGAAAGTAAAATGGTAGTAACTGCTAGTGGCATTGGGATTTAAGGGGTGATGAAAATGTTCTGGAATTAGAGTGGTGGTGATTGCACAACCTTATGAATATACAAATTGTCCATTGGCTTGTACTTTAAAAGGGTGAATTTTAATGGTATGTAAATTATAGTTCAATAAAATGTTGGGTTTTTTTTTTAAAGATTTTATTTTTTTATTTATACAAGCACTGGGTACAGTCAGAAGCGCGGGAGGGTAGGAGGGGATCGAACCAGCACTGCAGAGGCTGCGGGCAGCTTCACAGCCCAGGGCTCAACTGCTGTGCCACCGGGGAGGCCCCAATAAAATGTTTTTAAGCATAATTTTGAGTCAGGTATTATGTGAAATTCTTCTAGATTTAAATTTTGTGACCATTAGTATCTTGTTCAACATTATTTGCAAAATTATGATAAATGACATGTTTGAAAAAAAATTGTAAAATTCTCTACCTTAAACGGTTTTCTAGTTCTATAATTCTTTCAGTTAGATCCCAGTTGCCTCTTTCAAGATTCTGAATATTGATGTTTTTCAAAGACTTAATTCTGGTCAGAGAAGCAATAAGGTTCTCTAGGTCCTTGATATCATCTTTCAGGGACATTATCTGGAAGGACTGCTGCACATTATTTTCTTTGTAACTTTCTAGTTCACTCTTCATCTCTTGCAAAAAAGATTCTTTCATGACAAGTTTATTTTGAAGATTTCTTAGCTAATAAGAAAGAGAAAGTGTTACTTAAAAAAAGAGTTACATTTTTGTTCTTTAAAAATTCATGATTTTAAATCACTAAGGGTATTTAAATTATATATTGTCATACAGTAAAATGAAGCTTTTCAAACTTCCTAAATGTATCCCAATTTTAAATACATTTTAAAAATCATATCAAATTGACACATAGGTTTTGGAATGATTTTCTTTTCATCAACGTTTAAGTTGTTTAAATCTTTGTTACAAGAGTAAAATATATCAATAACCCCTAGCAGAAAAGTAATACTTGAGGCTTTGACCCAAGATACTTTATGATGTGCTATAAAGGGGAATGTGTCCACAGGTCTCTCTTTAAAGAGAAGCCTATATTTACATCACTTGGTTGCTGGCCTTATTGTGCAGATCAGAAATAGGTGCAGAAGAAAGTCAGGAGAAATAGCAAGGCTTAAATTAGATTTTATATATACATATCTATATATATGTAAGTATGTATATGGCAAATACAAGATAATAAAGTTATAAAGAGAGGAAGTGACACAAGAATCAGCATAGGCTGCTATTGTGCCAGTCCTCATTGCTCCCTATCCCCAGGCCCTGGTAACCAACCATTAATCTACTTTCTACCTCTATGGATTTGCCTATCCTGGTAATTTCATATGAATCAACAATATGGTGCCTCATGTTACCTGTTTCTTTTCATTTAGCATGTTTCAAGGTTTATCTATGTTGCAGTATGAATGAATACTTCATTTCTTTTTATGACTAAATGATGTATATTTTGCTCTCTGCTCATCAGTTAATTAACATTGGGGTTTGTGTGTACTTTTTGGCTTCATGTATAAGGCAACTATGAACATTCATGTACAGGTTTTTATGTGAATATAGATTTTCAATTGGCTATGTACCAAGGAGTCGGATTACTGGGTAACTTTGGATTTTTAAATCTATAATGATCTTGAAATGGCAGCATTTTAGAAAAAGAGGGATTAGTGGTTGCCAGAAGTTGAGGGTAGGAAGAAAGTGGGTGTAGTAATAGGAAGAATCTGTATGTTGTGGAAAGTAAGAATTCAGTATTTCCACTACTTAGAACTTAATACACAAAAATCACAAATGAGCACAAGCAAAACTAGGAAAGTATGCATAAGATTGCTGGATTATACTGTATCAATGTTCAGACTGTTTTTTATGCTACAGTTTTGCAAAATTTTACTAGTGGGAAAAACTGGTCAAGGTGTCCAATGGATCTCTCTGTATTATTTCTTAAAACTATAAATGAATATATAATGATCTCAATAAAAATTAATAATTGGTTTCAATAAATATTTCTCTAGTTGCAAATTTACCTTGTTTCTATTCACCCACTTCTCTTAGAGCTGGCTGCATCTACTAGATTTCTACTATTTGCCTTATTACTAAACTAAGGAAAGAGAAACAGCTTAACAGCATAAACAGTGTCTCCCTGCTGGTGCAAGGGGTTAAGAGGTTAAGACACAGCCTATGAAGCTGTCTGCGGCCCACTGCAGCACAAATTCCATCCCTGGCCAGGGAGCTACCCACATGGTGTAGCAGACCTCTCCTGACTCACCTGCTGCTCCCCTCAGCAGTGTATTTCAGTTGATCTGCCTATTCTGTTCCCCATTTTGTCTCTGGTGAATCCTCTCACACCCCCCACAGACACACACCTCTGGCCTGTACCCTAGTTCTTGTATGCATAAATAAATAAATCTTAAAAAAAAAAAACAGCATAAACATAGTCATATCCCTCACAAATAAGTTTCCATGAAGGTCAAACTAAGAAGGTACTGGCAAACACATTAAATTTATCTTAAATTTAAAACACAGACCTTAGTGTGTGTGTGTGTGTTTCACTGGTAACTTTTTTTTTTTTAAGATTTACTTATTTATACACACAAGAGCTGGGGCACAGGAGAGCTCTGCCTTGCCATGTGGGTTTCTCCCTGGCCAGCCGGGGATCAAACTCATGCTGCAGTGGCTGCAGATTGCTTCATAGTGCAGTGCTTAACTCCTTGCACCACCAGGGAGGCCCTGGTAACTTTTTTTTAATTGCTTAACTCATATTAATTACTACAGCAGCCCATCCATCATTTTACAAGAGTTTTAGCTCAATATAATATTGCCTAAACTAAGCAATATAATCACCAACTGAATACATTAATATTCATCCCTTCTAAATCTGGATTTTCCTAAATATAGTTCTCTTGCACCTGTTTCTCCATTATTGGGCAGAAAGACAAGGTAATTAGTTTTGTATGTCCCACAAAGACATAAAGCTAATTGTAACAAAAATTTTAAATGCATACAATGAAGAGAAAAGCTACCTTATCAAGACAATTATGTTCCTTTGGGAATAAATACTGGGTTATTGGAAAAGGGAAAGATGACTCATGCTGAAGCTATTCTGTTGAAAGCACTAGACTTTAAAAAAAAAAAACAAACACAAGTGAGTAGAGACCCACCGTTTTTCAGTCAAGGCAGCTGTGCTCCCTTGCTAGAACCTCCAATAAGCTCTCAAAAATATGATAATTTTTGGTAATTTACTTTAAAATAATTTTTTGAACTAGGCATACACATAAGTCTTAGTCTAATGCAAATCTGAATCATTCAACTTTTTAGGTATCAGTAAACTATACTTTATGAATATAATAATGCTACTGATAATAAAAATGTTATAGTTTTCAGGAATTGCCATCACATTTTTCTGGAATAAAAGACAAATTATGAAATCTCCCCAAAGTGTCATAGGATTGTATGTAAATAAACTATTTAAATTTAACCACTATTCAACTCTCTGCTAAAACATTAGCTTAACTAAAATTGAAAAGAAATATATTTATCTACATATCTTTGTTTATATACCTATTTAAATGAAAACTGAGCCAGGGTCAGATGAGATAATAGAAAAGAATTCTAATGAGGTCCTGGGTAGAAAAGAGGCCCCAAGGAATAAGCTGAAATGTGTCCCCTCAAAATTCATACGTGAAAGTCTTAAACCCCAGTTATGCTGAATGTGACTCTATTTGAATATAGAATCTTTAAAGAAGTAATTATTTTAAAATGAGATCTTTGGCGGGGGGCTAATCCAATATGACTGATGTTCTTTTAAGAGGAGGAAATGTGGACACACAATGACAGAAGGCAGGCCATGTGAAGACACAGAATAGATAGCCCCCTGTGCCAAGGAGAGAGGACTCGGAAGAAAACAACCCTCTTACCACACACACAAAGGTAATTATGTGAGCTGAAGCAGGTATTAACTAACCTATTGTGGTAATCATTTCATAATATTTACCTATATCAAAATATCATCAGAGAAGTTGTACATCTTAAGCTCACACAGTTATGCCATAAAATAAAGTAGGAAAAAAACAAAGGCAGGAGAGAGAGAGAGAGAGAGAGAGAGAGAGAGAGAGAGAAAACAGCCTCCTAACTCCTTTTCTTGGACTTCAAGCCTCCAGAATTGTGAAATAAATTTCTTATTGTCTAAGCCATCCAAGCTGTGGAACTTTGTTATGGCAGCTCTAGAAAACTAATGTAGACACTACAGATAGCTAGTAATTCAAAGGGTTGGTCAGTATTCCAGAAAGTAAGCATTTGGGACATCTTACTGAACGTTAACCACTGAGGCAGTACAAACAACAAATCATAGTACCTTTAACAATGACACAAATCTTTGGGTTATCTATGAGACTATCTCCTGCAACAAATATCCAGAGGGTAGGGTAGCTTGGCTCATCTAAAGAATTCCTACAAGCACTCTCTAGTTCATCACAGGGAGCAAAAGTTAAAGCATTTCCTCTAAATGTGGTTTCTTTTTTATCTGTTGATGTTACTCAGCTGTTTCATTAAATATTAAATAAGTGGGTATTTGCCATTTGATGTTATTTTGAAATTGGAATTTACCTTTTCCATTAAAGAATGCTTAACACACATAACTGATTATTATTACATAAATTTTGAACATAGCAGTTCTTAAGTAATAATCAAACACTACAGTATTTGGCAGTCAACTCAAAAGTTCTTAAAATGTACCATCTTCAAAGGGATTTCCTGCCAAATGATAGATTTGGGTCTAAATTAGTGTTCCTTGGTGAAAAGAAGAGTTGCATATTGAGAGAAAAAAACAAAGTGACTTAAGATAACACTTTGAGTCCATTATCAGAATGTTTCTCTCCCTACTTATACGAAGACTATAATTTCCTATAGTGTTTAATTTTCAGATAATTCATGTACCTTGGCCAACAGATTCTTGTTTTTCACCAACAAACCAGCAAGGTCAGGATGGATTGTGTCAGCCGCCCTTTTGTGGGACATGATTGGGTTCCTGACAGGAAGGACTTCAAGAGACGGATCAAAACAAGCCTACAAAGACAAACTGAAAATTAATGAACTAAGCATGTACTCTATAGATCAAAACCCACAGTGTTTCAGCCCACACAGAATCTAAAAAGGAGCTCTAAATAGAATAAATCTTTAATATATTCATCTTGAGTTGCTCTCTTAACACATGTATTAAGATCTCAGGAAAACAGCAGGTAATAAATATGTTGACCTAAAAGCTATTTATAACAATAGCTATAAGTAACTGCAGATCATCTAAACAGACACAATTTCTGAGAGTATAGGAATCAAGAAAACACACAAAGCTTCTGGGGAAACTTTAATTCACAACTAATAAAATTTTATAGAAATGAACTATCAGAAGGTGGCTGATGAAAGATTTACCAGTATTTGTTTATTTTTGGTCACAAATCAATTCCTATTCATTATCTCATCACACAAGTTGATTTTTAAAATTTTATTTCAGTAAATCAACATCAACTCTGTGTTTCTTTCTTTTCTTTTTTTTTTTTTTTTTAAGATTTATTTATTTATTTATTTATTTACACAAGCACTGGGTACAGTCAGAAGTGCGGGAGGGTGAGAGAATTCACCAGAGCCAGAGAGGGGAGCAGAGCAGGCAGAAGGACTGAAGTGCACTGCTGAGGGGAGCAGCAGGGGGCAGGAGAGGTCTGCGCGCCATGTGGGACCCTCCTCCAGTGGCCGGGAAGCAGCCGGGAATCAAACCTGCGCTGCAGAGGCTGTGGGCAGCTTCGCAACCCAGTGCTCAACAACTGCGCCACCGGGGAGACCCTCAACTCTGTGTTTCTTCCACACCTGTACTGACGGTAAAAATTAGGGAATATTCACATTTATTATAATATGCCCCCCTATTGTCAAAAAGGCATGCAATCTTTTAAATTGTCAATAGAGGGGCCTCCCCGGTGGCGCAGCGGTTGAGCGCTGAGTTGTGAAGCTGCCTGCAGCCTCTGCAGCGTCGGTTCAATCCCCAGCTGCTCTCCGGCCCCCGGAGGAGGGTCCCGCATGGTGCACAGACCTCTCCTGCCGCCCGCTGCTCCCCTCAGCAGTGTACTTCGGTCATTCTGCCTGCTCTGCTCCCCGCTCTGGCTCTGGTGAATTCTCTCACCCTCCCGCACTTCTGATTGTACCCAGTGCTTGTGTAAATAAATAAATAAATGTCTAAATAAATAAATAAAATAAACAGGCCTTCTTAAAAAAATAATAATTAATAAATAAATAAATTGCCAATATAACTTTTGGTAAGAACAAAATTTTAAATTAGAAGAAAAAGTGTAGAAATGGCATTATATGGTGCTTAATGTCCTCAAGGAACAATTTTCTTTCAAGTTATTAGATTTTAGAATGTTATGCCTACCACAATACTGTATGTATGCATACACCTGGAAGGAAAAACAGTGTATAGTACCATAAAATCTTCATATTTCTCAGGTATAAGGAAGATTTCAGTTAACTTTGTCAAAGATATGTTAAAATAAATAATATAGCATAAATACAGTATCTATAGCAATGTTGACACATCTATATATCTGAAATCTATATAATGTTATAAATCAGTTTTACATCTTTTAAAAAAGTTAACATAATCACTAAATAACAGCCATACAGCACTTAACTTTTAAACTAGTAAAAAAAGGAAAACATGGAATGAGAAAAAATAAAACAAATATAACACAACAAAACAAAAACAATCACTTGTTGGCATGATAGATGGGGGGAAGAAAATAAAAGCATGGGAAGTAGAATACACATAGCATGGTGGCAGAAATAGATCCAATAATCTGTATTATCAATAAATGTAAATGGGTTAAACGTTCCTGTTAAAAGCATCAGCATTCAAAAAAACAGAAAACTTCGTTGAAAACAGCTCACATTTCAAATACAAGTTTAATGAGTAAATAATTTATGGTATAATCAGATAACAGAATACTAAAATATGATGGAAATTGTTGGACAATTATACATACAGCAACACAAATCTCACTAAGATAAAGAAGCAAGTCACTGGGACAGTGCCCTCTATCATCAGGACCACCTTCCCGTCTGTTCAGCAGAGACATTGGCATTGGGCCCTCCACTGAGGAGAAATATGATCACTGTTCTTGTCCATGAGACTTCAAGCTCATTCCCCTGGCTCTTCTGGAGATCCTGAAAGCTGCTAGCCTCCTCCCCTGAATCTGAAAAGTCTTCTGACTACAGGCAGAAGTGGGACAGTGTGACTTCCAAAGCAGGGTCATGAAAGCTAAAGCAGCTTCCACCTGGTTTCTTCTGGACTTCTCAGGCTCAGAACCCAAGTACTATGCTGTAAGGAAGTCTAGGCCAAGTGTGCCCCAGCTGAGATCCCAGCCCACAGCCAACATCCCCTACCAAAGAGAGGAAGCCTAGAGATGACTCTAACTCCAGCCACCTATACCACATGAGAGACCCAAATGAGAACTTCCAGCTGAACCCACTCAATCCCCAGAAATGTGAGATAATAAAATAACTGTCATTTTAACGATAACAAAAGATAAAAGTAGTGTAATCCCATTCATGAAACTATCATTTTTTTAAAGATTTATTTATACATACAAGAACCAGGGTACAGGCCAGAGTTTTGGGGGGTGAGAGGATTCACCAGAGACAGAATGGGGAGCAGAACAGGCAGAATGACTGAAATACACTGCTGAGGGGAGCAGCGGTTGAGTCAGGAGAGGTCTGATGCGCCATGTGGGTCACTTCCCTGGCTGGGGATCGAACTCGTGCAGCAGTGGCTGCGGTACACAGGTTATGTATAGCCACACAGGTTATGTCTTAACCCTTTGTGCCACCAGGGAGGCCCCCATTCATGAAACATTTAAATAGAAAATTATATTAATTAGGGATGTCTAAATGGATGCTCAAAGTAGGAGAAGTAATGGACAAAAAATTTAAAATATCCATTAGGTGGGAGAAAAGAAATTTCTTTAGGAAGTAGCACGCAGTATCTAAAGTACCTATAATGATTTATGAAAGTAGATGGTGAGTTCATAGGTATGTGTTTAATTATATAATCTGTGTGTATACATTATGTAGGTTTTTTTCCTATGTATGACATTTTTAAGAATAAATCCATATACAAAGGATCCTCACTTGTTTATATAAGAAAATATATACCATGTACAAAAACTGTGATATATTAATATACTTATAAATGGGGATTTTATGTAGTATTAACATGAATAAAGTAAATCTATGTGAAACAAAAAGAAAAACTCAAAAACTGTAAGATTGATTGCAAATATCAAAGCAGGAAGTTATGTCTAGTAGAATACCGTTTAAGTAATTTTTAAATGCCAAAAACACTATGTTGTGTCGAACAACACCACACTGACACGGGAGTCGTGGAGCAGGCTGCACAATGCAGGATGCTGCTGAAGAGCAAGATCCTGGCCCTTTTATTCACACACGTAATTGATTATAAGGAGATTAAAGAAAGGGGAAGGGTATAGAAGATTAGGGATTGTGAGTCTGCCCTCCAGGCACTTCTAATCTACTTGATGATACACTCTAATCCCCAGCCACGGTTCTAATCTTATCAACAAGGTGCTCCACTGATCAGCTTCTGGGGTCCCTTGTCATGTATACATCGGTCCTCAGCCCCCAGGGCATTACCGGTAATACTTCGTGATGTATAAATCCGCAGTATGTGTTATGCATGGTCCTCAGCCCCCCGGGCATTCTGGACATAACTTGTGAGACATAACCTTCCCAGTGTGATCCAGCTTTGTGCTCTTTTTTTTTTTTTTAAAGATTTATTTATTTATTTATTTATACAAGCACTGGGTATAGTCAGAAGCGCGGGAGGGTGAGAGAATTCACCAGAGCCAGAGCGGGGAGCAGAGCAGGCAGAAGGACCGAAGTACACTGCTGAGGGGAGCAGCGGGCGGCAGGAGAGGTCTGCGCGCCATGTGGGACCCTCTTCCCGTGGCCGGGGAGCAGCCGGGGATCGAACCGACGCTGTAGAGACTGCGGGCAGCTTCACAACCCAGCGCTCAACCACTGCGCCACTGGGGAGGCCCTGGCTTTGTGCTCTTGTTTGATTTGAAGGGCTTAAGGGTTGGGCTCCTGTTCCTAACTGGCCGGACCACTTTGACCTTGTTTAGGTGACAAAATGGCGGCCAAATAGGCTGCCTAGGAGTAGCAGACCCACACACTAGAAGTATTTTTTTATATAATAATTATTGAAAACATACAGAAAGGTCATGCATCTAATTCAGAATAATTCTCTCCGGAGGGAAAAAACTGGACAAAGATATTCAAATACGTTCATATACATCTGTAAAAGCAGCAAGGGGGAATATGATGTCTTAGGAAGGTAAGGGTAATCAGATGACCTAGTTCTGTACCTAAATCACTGTGGTCGCCCTCCAATGCTTAGTTTCCTAATCTGTAAAATGATGGGTTTAATCAAATTAACTCTGAAGTCCTTTAAAGACTTTCAATAATACTTTGGAATTGTTGGACTTCAGTTAAATGAAATGTCAGAACAATTAGAAAGACAAAAATAAGTAAAATTCAATTTGAGGTACCATTAGATTTAGATGTTTCACTGCCTGTTATTCTAGAATCAGTTTAGGAATAAAAAAAAAAAAAAATGAGAGCTCACTAGACCTCATCTCTCACATGAGCAAAGACATGAAAGAGTGCCAGCACTGGCCAGGGGGCAAACAGAGCTAGGCTTTATTCTCTTCTAGCTCCTAATGTTGTAGAGCAACCCCGATACAAAACGGGGTGCCTGACTGTGGGTCCTCACCCACGCGCTTAAAAGGACTTATCAATGCTCTACTGCAGGCACACACGAAAGGTTAATAAAAGGTTTATTTACAAGGGAAGGGGAAATGATGAAATGTAGAGCTCAGAGAGAAAAGTGGGAGATAAAGTTTTAAATGAGTCCTACCCAATCCGCCGATCAGGAATCCCAAAATGGCACTCTGAGAGCTGGCCGCGAGCCAGGAGCCGTGAAGCCAGGAGGTGAGCGATAGTGAGCCCCCCAAGGCCCACATGTTTGGTTTTTATATCCAACCTGGCTGCCCAACTCCACCCTCAGGTCCCAGCCACCCTCCCTTTGGTGGTGATGGGATTTGTCTTTCCCAATGTCTTGATGGCTTTAGTCTGGAGTGGGGGTGGGGTCCACAAAGCCTGTATGGGATTAGCTCAGGACATCATTTCACCCTAACACTAATAGTGCAGGAGATTATTTTACCCCCTCCTGCTGAGAATGGAGAATAAATGTCAGAGTACAACTCACCACAGGGTTATTTTTCGGAGATGTGTGAGCTGATAGATGCTTGACTTCTGAGAGCTTTACCTCCTGAGAGCCTTTGCTTTCTCCAATAGCAGGCCTTCCTGGAACAGAATGGTCTAAAAACTGGAGAGGACCTGACATGCTGAAGATACAATCAGTATGAAACAGATTTGGTAATGGTGATCCACGATGCTTCCAAGGGGGATTTGCATAAAACAGTCAGGAAGAAATGCTGAGATCTGCCCAGCACCAAGCTCACTGTCTTTGAGAAGGCTCCACTTCAGTTCCTCATAGCTTATCTAAACCTCAGGAGTTGTCTGCTGAACCTGTCACTTAGAGACAAGGCAGTAACAAAACATTTTCAATTGTAACGGGTTGAACCAGTGTGCTAATATATATACTTGACCTATAATACACTTAAGTGCTATCTGTGACTCATATCTGTTGACATCTGACTTACAAACTTCCTTCATTTTCAATTCTTTCACTTGATCAAAATGCTAACTATGCCCTTAAGGGAAGCCCTGTGAATTTATTTCTAAAGCTACATCTTCTAATATAACATCCAATTGTTTCAGTAAGCAAAAAATAAAGACTTCTTTATGAACTTGGAATATATTTTGGGGGGAAAAAGGCATTTAGAAACTGTGCACAGGAGAGGATGGATGTAAGTTGGGGATGTGTTTCCTTTCTTGGCTACATCTCCCAGAAAATCAAACAGAATGAGAGGAATTTTCATAAGAGGGGAAAAAAATCAGAATGGTATGACTGGAAGAACACTGTCCAGAAAGTATGAAGGTCTGATTTTCTTCACTAAACCTGAAATATATTTTGAAATTCCTCTATTAATTAATTCTAGGCACGTTAATATTGAGATGGTAATTATTAAAACACAAAGATGTCTAACAAGACTTGAGTTTCTTCATCATTTTTATTATTTGATATCTAAAAATATTACTACATCTACTCCTTTTCTTTTAAGATTTATTTATTATGCATACAAGAACTACGGTACAAGGCCAGAGGTGCGGGGGGGTGAGAGGATTCACTAAAGAGAGTGGGGAGCAGAAAAGGCAGATCTACTGAAATACACTGCTGAGGGGAGCAGCGGGCGAGACAGGAGAAGTCTGCTGCACCATGTGAGTTAATTCCCTGGCCTGGGATTGAACTTGTGCTGCAGTGGCTGGCAATAGCTGATAGATCTGTGTCTTTAACCCCTGTGCCACCAGGGAGGCCCTACATCTACTCCTTTTCTAAGGATAAAAGAATAAAAGGAGAATCAGAGGAAGGACAAGTTTTTAGTGAATGGAAATAGAGAATAAATTGTCTCTTAGTCCTATAACAACAATGATACCAGAGACAAAGTTCTTCTTAAGAATCCTCTCTTTTACAATACTGCTATTTTTCTTTCTTTAAGTTCTATTAACCTTTTTATGAATCTTATGCTCTATTAAAAACAACTTTACCTAAGGAGTCTCACTTGTATTTCCTCTAAGAAATAAGCCACTCTGGGAATCCCAGAAACATAAACATGTATGTAAATCCTTAGTATCGGTTTTCAGTAATCACCTCCTTCCTGGATTTCTGCAAGATAAGGGTAATCTCGCTTTCCCTTTTAAAGCATATGATCTATACTTTTCCTTTGATTGTTATCTCATTCAATATTGTAATGTAAAAATCTTATCTCTCTTATTACGTTAAAGGTACCTAAGTGCTGGATCTACTTCTGGTTTATTTCTACCATCTCATACTAGGCACAAAAAATATAGATTGAACAACTAAAGAATTGAAAAGGAAAAAATAAGCCTTAATACAAAGTTAACTTATATAGATGATAGCACTGTTGTCCAAAAGTAACCTTATAAAAAAAATAATAAAAATACAGGAGGAGTCTAAAGTAAAAAATAACAAAATATACCAATACAAGAAATTATTCTATTTATGCATGTATATGACTATTTCATTTTTTATACACTCATAAGTTTTATCAATACTTCAAAGTAGAAAGATAAAGTATGATATGCTTCATTTAGTAGAAGTAAAAATTTTACCATATAGGGCAAAGAGAAAATTCCAAATCCAAGATCAATTCCCAGAAGAAACCTGAATTGTCTGACATGAGCGGCTGCCCTATGCAATTTGCCAATAGGATGTTTGTGTATCATAGAAACTGTTGCTAGGTGAATGCATCACAGAGGTTAAGGAAGGGAATGGGTACTTCCTAAGGTGATGCAGTGAGACTTGCAGTTAATAGTCTAATTAATGAAGTGAAAATACGAAGTGGTATTCATCAAGCATTAATGAACTTAAGAACTCTTAAGAAAGTGATCCTACCAAAATTAAACATTCCAGCAAATGTGAAACCCATATTTTAGATCTTTTGTTTGTGAAATTCTTGGTAATAAGTCAAATTTTTGTACTCTAATACATACACCTCATCAAGGGCTAAGTACCAGGCAAAAGATCTAAAAACTGTCACTGGGTCAAAACCTCTCACTGGTTCTAGATTTAGCCACCCATCATTACAAATGCAAGCAAAGGGCCTCTTTGGTGCAGGAAAAAAAAATCAATTCATTCTAACCAACAAGATAGAGAGGGAGAAGGTCTAGTGTGCTAAGACCTGCAGTGTCTGCTGCCAGAAGACACAGTGTTTTCAGTTCGTCTGCCTGTTCTTGGCACCCCAAGACAAAACCTTGCCATGTTCTACCACCAGCAACAGTGGCAGGGTGAAGCACAGACCTATGGAGGAGTGGGTGTGAAGACCCACCAACAACCCAGACAACAGCATAGCCTCTGATACAGCGCAAAGTGTGACACACGCAAAAGAAAACAACAGACCAGTATTCTTGATGAACACAGATGAAAAATGCTCAACAAACTTGCAGCAAACAGAATTCAACAATACAATAAAAGGATCATACACCATGATATTTACAGATGACATGACAATGTACATAGAAAATATTACAATGCCACCCCAAAACTATTAGAAACAATAAACCAGTATAGTAAAGTGGCAGGCAACAAACTCAATATACAAAAATCTGTTGCACTCCTATGCAAACAACAAACTCTCACTAGAAGAGAAAGAAATCAAGAAAACAATTCCATTTACAATCACATCACAAAGAAATGTCTGGAATTAAACTGACAAAGGAAGTGAAAGACCTGTAAAATGAAAACTATAAGACATTATTAAGAGAAATAGAAGACACAAAGAAATGGAAAGATATTCCTTTTCATTGATTGGAAGAACTAACATTGTTAAAATGATCATCTTACCTAAAGTGATGTACCAATTCAACGCAATACCTATCAAAATTTCAATGGCATTCTTCATCAAAGAAATGGAGTAAACATATCTAAATTTTATATGGAACTAGAAAGAACTTGAATAACCAAAGCAAGTCTAATAGTAAAGAAGGACAGATTTGTCACATTCCCAGACTTCAATATATTACAAAGCTTTGGAATTCAAAACAGTTTATTATTGGAATAAAAAAGACACAAAGATTAATATAAATGATTAAATCATTAATGTAATGATTAAAGATTGAAAGCCCAGAGATAAACCCACATGTATGTGGACAGTTATTACAACAAAGGAGTCAAGAGTATGAAATGGAGAAAGGCAAATCTCTTTAACCTACAGTATTGGGAAAACTGGGCAGCTATATGCAAAATAATGAAACTTGGACCCCTATCTCACATCCTACACAAAAATTAACTCAAAAAAATGGATTAAAGAGGGCCTCCCCGATGGCGCAGCGGTTGAGCGCTGGGTTGCGAAGCCGCCCACCGCAGCCTCGGCGGCACCAGTTCGATCCCCGGCTGCTCCCCGGCCACCAGAGGAGGGTCCCACATGGCGCGCAGACCTCCCCTGCCGCCCCCTGCTCCCCTCAGCAGTGTACTTCGGTCCTTCTGCCTGCTCCGCTCCCTGCTCTGGCTCTGGTGAATTTTCTCACCCTCCCGCGCTTCTGACTGTACCCAGTGCTTGTATAAATAAATAAATAAATAAATCTTTTTAAAAAATGGATTAAAGAGTTTAAACCATAAAATGTACAGGAGGTAGTTGCCACAACACTCTGAGATATTGGCTTCAGAGAACTGACTACAATAGCAAGGGAAACAAAAGTAAAAATAAACAAACGGGACTACATTAAACTAAAAGAATATCATTGAAATTAAAAGACACTGTGAAATGGAACTGGAAGGGTTATACTAAGTGAAATAAGTTAGAGGGAGAAAGACAAATACTGGATGGTTTCATTATATGTGGAATACAAAAAAACAAAGGGACAACACCAAACCAAAACAAACCCTAGAAATCTGATTGCAAAATTCAGGCTACCTGAAAGCATGTGGAGGAGTGGAAAACAAAAGGGGGAAGGGGCCTGAGATTAAAGTGCATGACTAAGGGTGCCTTGATGGTGGGCATGGTGTGGTAAAGTACACCTGAAGAGGTATAAGCCTAGTCCCCTAAATTATATATAAACCAACACTCTCGATAAAAAGTAAATACAATTTGGGCCTCCCCGGTGGCGCAGCAAGTTGAGCGCAACGCTGTGAAGCTGTCCGCAGCCTCTGCTGAGCCAGTTCAATTCCTGGCCAGACAGGGAGATACCCACATGGCACAGCAGACCTCTCCTGTCTTGCCCGCTGTTCCCCTCAGCAGTGTTTTCAGTTCGTCTGCCTGTTCTGTTCCCCACTCTGTCTCTGGTGAATCCTCTCACCCTCTCGCACCTCTGGCCTGTACACCAGCTCTTGTATAAATAAATCTTTAATAAAAAAAGTATAATTTAAAATATAATATTAAACTCCATGGAAGGTCTAAAAACGTTGCAGGGTGGTCTTCCAAGTATTTCAATCAAACCAGCAGGTGATCCCTTAAATTTGAAAAAGGAGAGCTGTTTTGGAAATTTAAGATTGGTAAATACTGCAGTAAACAAACCTACTAGTAAGTAGATTACAAGGAGCCTTGCTTCTTCAAGGTGTCCGAGAATTTTATTTCCATTTAAGCACATAAATTATATACATGCACCTAATTTCTTCATAAAACTTTTCACAACAAAAAACAAAATTAAACAATAAAATAACTATATGGATATCCTCTGGCCATCCCAAGTTCTAACTAAATTAGTTTTTAAAAGCTACACGTAAATTTTTTTTTTTTTAACGGATGCCTATTTCCTGTCTTCGTGGTCAGGAGAATGGGAGTTCTAGAACTTTACATTATGAAAAAGATATTATTCCTGCCAGCTAACTACTTTAGCTACTGAGGAATGAGGAAGAGCATTGCAGGAAGAGCACTGGACTAGGCATCAGGTCCAATTAGATTTTTTTCCTCCTGAATTTTTAAATTCTGGAAAGTAACAGCCTATTAAAATTTGAGTCCTATCCTTTGATAAAATGGAAATATTATCTACTGACCTATCTCAAGGGGGTAATAGGTAAAAGTAAGTAATTTGAAATATATGTTCCTGCCTGGATAATACTTGTCTAACTCAGGTGCATTCTAGCTGCACTTAATGATGTCAGCCAGGGAAATTTCATTTCTGACATAGCCCGGGGCTGATGAGAAACATTTTGTTATAGCAGTAGACATCTGGAAAGAGCCCAGTGAAAAGTTACACGTAATTTTTATGGGCCTCCCTGGTGGCGCAGGGGTTAGTCTCGGCGCTACCAAGAAATCACCAGCCACTGAGGCATGAGTTCAAACCCCAGTCAGGGAGCTGACCCACAAGGTGCAGCAGACCTCTCCTGTCTTGCTCCCTGCTCCCCCACAGTACTGTATTTCACTAGATCTGCCTGTTCTGTTCCCCACTCTGGCTCTGGTGAATCCTCTCATCCCCCCACAATTCTGGCCTACACCTAGTTCTTGTATGCATAAATAAATAATATAAACCTTTTAAAAAAATCTACACAGGTAATTTTAATGTGACTTTAGGGTGGAAAACAACTGTCCCCCTATCTTTATTTATATGTGGTAAAAATGAGGCAAGGGAAAATTAAGTGTTCACAGGAATGAGATTAATAGTTACTAACAAAACCAGAAAAAGAAACACTATTTCTTCCATAAAACTAGAGTTTATTTTATTTTATTTTTAAAAGATTCATCTATCTATGCATACAAGATCTGGGGTACAGGCCAGAGGTGCAGGAGGGTGAGAGGATTCACCAGAGACAGAGCAGGGAACAGAACAGGCAGACAACCGAAAACACTAAAGGGAACAGCGGGCGAGACAGGAGAGGTCTGCCAGCACCATGTGGGCAGCTCCCTGGCCGGCCGGGGATGGAACTGGCACTGCAGAGGCTGCAGACAGCTTCACAGCGCTGCGCTCAACCCCCTGTGCCACCAGGGCACAGTATGAACAAAATAGTAAATTTCTTACGAAGTTACATTTTGGTAGAAAAAGACAGTAAACAAATATATAAATAAAATCATTTTAGATAATAAGTGCTGAGACTAAAATAGGTTAATGTGAGACTAAAATACTAAAGAGGAGGTAATTAAGAGGGCAACTTTTGATAGTATAATCAAAGGCCTTTTTGAATATATTAACAAAAAATCATGTAATACATTTTATTAGATAAGCTCCCTTTACCACTTAACAATGTAAACTTATATATCTAAACATAAACATGTAGTTTCTTTAACAACTACATTCATCCTAGAAATTTTTTTATTAATAAAATGCTGTAAAGAACACTAATATATATGTTTATATATGTAAATATTACTCTAGAATAAATTCCTAGAAATGAAATTAGGTTAAAAAAAAAGCACACCTTTAAATTATTGACAGTTATCAAATTACTCTCAAAAAGTTTGTAAAAATGGAGTTAATGTAAAAGTGATACACATATTTTTCAAGCAACTTCCATTACAGCTCTCTGAATAAAACTACTGCCTTTCTAATCACTGTAAAATGATGGATTCTGTCTTTATCTTCTCTGACAGAAAAACCCCTTTTTCCATGAGACACTTTCTCAACTTACAGGGCTGTATGCTTTCGTGGTTTTCCTCATAATACACTGAACTCTGCTTTTCAATTTTCCTTCCTAGGTCTCCCTCATCTCATCTCATCTGGTTACTGAAACCAAACCGTTGCTTTCCTCTCTTACACCCCAGCTTCCTCTCTTCATTCAGGTTTCTGCTCAAAACAGATTCCCCAGAGAAGCTTCACTTGCCACATTTCTAAAACAGCACTCTATTGCCTCCCACCATCATTTTTAGTGTGCCTCTTTTTTAAAAAATTGCAAGTTTCAATACCTAAAATTAGAGTATACATATATAATTTTAATTGAACATTGTCTCCCCACCAGGATATTAGGAGAGGGCAGGAACTTTTTCACTTTTCTAGCACCCAGAGCAGTGTCTTTTGTGGCTGACACAGTAGCCACCTTTTGACTATTTGCTCAATTAGGAGTACAGTCTATACACAGCTACTGCCCTTGAAAACCAGGTTCTTGAGGTGGCAAAGGCAATAATACACTTAGTGATCTAGGCTTGAGGCCTAGCCAAGACATAGCTACACAGCTCTGGAAAGTCATTCTTTGGAGCCCATTTCTCCATCTGCAAATGGGACTACCTTCCTCAGCAAACAAGATAGCTGAGTCAATATTTCTTTGATATTTTAAGTGACAAGTTTCACTACCTGCAAATTACTAGCAACATTTTTTTCGATTTTTCTCTTAATTTCAGCTATTCAGGTATAATATAGCAAGAGGTTACATGTTTAAGGTTTTTTAATATTATTAGTTATATCATACTATATATTATCAAGTTGTGCCTCTGATGTGTCCACTTCTGCAAACTTTAGGAATGGCAAAGTAAAATCAGTTACCAGAAAAAAAAATTGCCAAATATAATCTAATTCTAGTATGGTGATGGTTGCACAACTGTGTAAATACACTAAAAATCATTGAATTGTACACTTCTATAAGATGAATTGTATACAGAAACAATACCTTAACAAATCCATCAATAAAAAAAGAGATTTTTCTAATTTTATACAGTGGAACTAATGTGGAATATTTTTAGAATTTAGAAGGCAAAAGTTGCCTATCAAAAGGTCTCCCCTTAGAAAAGCACTCCCCAGAGAAATCAATCAAGTTTTTTTTTTTTTTTTTTAGATTTATTTATTTATTTATACAAGCACTGGGTAAAGTCAGAAGCGCGGGAGGGTGAGAGAATTCACCAGAGCCAGAGCAGGGAGCAGAGCAGGCAGAAGGACCGAAGCACACTGCTGAGGGGAGCAGCGGGCGCCATGTGGGACCCTCCTCTGGTGGCCGGGCAGCAGCCGGGGATCGAACCTCGAACCGGTGCTGCAGAGGCTGCGGGCAGCTTCGCAACCCAGCGCTCAACCGCAGCGCCACCGGGGAGACCCCTGAAATCAATCAAATTTAATGGATGAGCTCTGCCATTAATAGAAGCAGGACACCCAAAAAAAATGTTTATAATAAAGAAACCCATATATTGGTTTAAGTCCAAAGTGATTTGAACTTATTTTCTCCAAGAGATAGCTGCACCCCCATGTTCATTGCATCACTGTTCACAACGATGTGAAAACAATCTAAATGCCCATGGGTGGATGCATAACTAAAACCTATTCTCTCACTTCACACACATGCACCCATGCACGCACAATGTATGCATGGTGGTAGTCAGGGAATGAGGGAAATAAACAGATGTTGCTCAGAGGATGCAAACTCTAGGATGAATTAGTTCTGGGGGTCTCTTGTACAGCCTGGTGACTCACAATACTTATACTTGGAAGCTGTTGAGAGAGCCGACTTAAATGTTACCACCACATAACAAAAAAGGGTAACTAATGTGAAGGGGATGGAATTATTAACTAACCTTATTGTTAGATAAGATAGCTGAGTCAGTATTTTTTTAATATTGTAAGTGACAAGTTTCACTACCTGCAAATTACTAGCAACATTTATTTCAATTTTTCTCTTAATTTCACCTCTTCAGGTGTAATATAGCAAGAGGTTACATGCTCAAGGTATCACATATATTTGTATCAAATCACCACTACATACAACTTAAATAAAACTATCCTATATGTCGGTGATATCTTTTTTTTTTTTAAGATTTATTTATTTATTTATACACGCACTGGGTACAGTCAGAAGCGCAGGAGGGCGAGAGAATCCACCAGAACCAGAGCGGGGAGCAGAGCAGGCAAAAGGGCCGAAGTACACTGCTGAGGGGAGCAGTGGGCGGCGGGAGAGGTCTGCGCACCATGCGGGACCCTCCTCTGGTGGCCGGGGAGCAGCCGGGGATCCAACCAGCGCCGCAGAGGCTGCAGGCAGCCCTGCAACCCAGAGCTCAACTGCTGCGCCACCGGGAGGCCCATGTCAGTGATATCTTAAAGTGTTGCAGAAATAAATTCTAGCCTTTCATCCAGGCAGGGGAAGAACAAGTGGTACTTCAGGAATGGTGAGGTCAGGAAAGCTTTCTTACTCATGCATGAGGTCCCAGACCTGGGTAGTCCCAAGAGGTCTGAGCACTGGTCTAGAGACAAAGAGTTTCTTTTATGCATAACCACTTTACACTGATAAAGTTGGTTAGTTAGCATACAAATTCTTGACACAGGGAAAGGGGAAGGACACAGATCTTCCAGGATGGCCTGGGAGATCAATCAGCCTAGCAGGCTGCCAGACCCTGTTTAGATATGCTTATTAAGGAAGCAAACTTGTTATTTACTTTACATTTCCAGGTCTATGACAGGGAAAGATTTCTTTTTCCTAGCAGTTCCCTTTCAAAAGCAGTGGGAAGAACTAAACAAAGTAAACTGAATATTTTATCGTGAGAACTACACTGGGATGACTGTATGATACCACCTTTGTAACCTCAGCAAATACAAAAACCCAGACTTCTCCACCAGAGAAGAGGGACCCTAGGGAAAATCCTCACGAACATCCCAGCTGCCTGCGCCGCCAGTCTTGTTCCCCAAACAAACCCTGCATCCTATTTCTTGGGCATGGACGGTGTGCCCCCTTGGTGGTCTCTGGGCATCAGGTCATCAGGTCGTGCTGTTAGGGGAAAGAATGTTCTGAGCTAATCCCATACAGGCTTTGTGGACTCCACCCTCACTCCAGACCAAAGCTATCAGGACAGTGGGAAAGACAAATCCTGTCACCACCAAAGGGAAGGTGGCTGGGACCTGAGGGTGCAGTTAAGCAGCCAGGGTTGGTATAAAAAACCAAACACGTGGGCCTTGGGGTCTCGCTCTGTCGCTCGCCTCCTGACTTCATGGCTCCTGGCCCGCGGCCAGCTCTCAGAGCGCCATTTGGGATTCCAGATCTGTGGATCCGGTAGAACACATTTAAAACTTTGTCTCCCACTTTTCTCCCTGAGCTGTACATTTCCTCATTTGCCCTTCCCTTGTAAATAAACCTTCTATTAACCTTTCGTGTGTGCCTGCAGTAGAGTATTGATAAGTCCTTTTAAGCGCAAGGGTGAGGACCCACAGTCAGGCACCCCGTTTTGTATCGGGGCTGTCCTATAACAGAACCACCTTTGTAACCTCAGCAAATGCAAGAACCCAGACTTCTCCACCAGAGAAGTGGGACCTTCGGGACAATCCTCACGAACATCCCAGCTGCCCGCGCCGCCAGTCCCATTCCCCAAACAAACGCCCCATCCTATTTCTTGGGCATGGTCGCCCACTAGGAGCAGTGTGTGCCCTAGGTGGTCTCTGGGCATCAGGTTGTGCTGTTAGGGGGAAATGATGTCTTGAGCTAATCCCATACAGGCTTTGTGGACCCCAACCCCACTCCAGACCAAAGCCATCAGGACATTGGGAAAGACAAATCCCATCACCACCAAAGGGAGGGTGGCTGGGACCTGAGGGTGGAGTTGGGCAGCCAGGTTGGATATAAAAACCAAACACGTGGGCCTTGGGCTGGCTCGCTGTCGCTGGCCTCCTGGCTTCAGGGCTCCTGCCATCAGCCAGCTCTCAGAGCGCCATTTGGGATTCCTGATCGGCGGATCGGGTAGGACTTATTTAAAACTTTGTCTCCCACTTTTCTCCCAGAGCTGTACATTTCCTCATTCCCCCTTCCCTTGTAAATAACCCTTCTATGAACCTTTCGCGTGTGCCTGCAGTAGAGCATTGATAAGTCCTTTTAAGCGCGCGGGTGAGGACCCACAGTCAGGCACCCCGTTTTGTATCGGGGCTGCTCTACAACAGTGCGAGGTCCCCGACTGCTGCCCAGCCTCACACCCCCGCCTGGGCTCTGCCAACACCTGAGGAGCCGCGCGCCCCGGCTCAGCCTCCCCTCCAGCCAGCTGGGTTTCAGCCCTGGCAGGGCATCAGCGCCCGGGGAAGTGCTTAAGTTTCGAGCGCCAACCACAAAACTGGAGGGGGGGGGTCCCCACACCAGCCTGACAGCGCCGGTGGGCGGCAAATGCGGAAGTCTCCCTAACTCGACCCCCCACACCCCCCGCCTGAGCAGGGCCGCAGCAGTCTGGGGGGGCCCCGCGGCCTCCGTGGCGGGCGCTAGTCCCCACAGCGCCCGGGGGTGCGGAGACGCGCCCCACTCCCGCGCCCGCGAAACTGCTCTCCCGCGAGACCGCCCCTCGGCTCCGGAGCGGCCCCGCCCGCGAAGGGCTGGAAGGGAGGCCCGCGTCCTCCGCCAGTTCCCGGCGCCCAGCAGGCGCGACCTGCAACGGCGGCTCCCACCAGCCAATCACGCCCGCCAGCCGCTCCCCGCCCAGCCTACCCCGAGGCCGCGGCGAAGAACCGTCTCCACTTCCCCGCGCTCCGCGGCCTTCCGGACGGCGCACGCGCATCCCCACCCCCGTGGGGGTCGGACGCGCCGGGGAGGAGACGCGCACGCGCAGTGGCTTGAGATCCCCGGGTGGTCTGTTAGCACGTGGGTTGGGTTGTCCCGCGCGGCTGTGCAGGGAATCGAACCTCACTTTTGCAGGTGTCCATCGTGGGCAGCGGACTAAAAAAGGCCATGGCGCCGGCGGAAATCCTGAACGGGAAGGTGGTCTCTGCGTAAGCACCTGTCATTGTTATTAGGGAGTGTGGGGCTGCGGGAGAGGAGTCTGAACAGGGAGGGGGGCCCCGTGGACCCCTTGGCGGGAGGGACGCTTGCAGCTGGGGTACGGCGAACGGGCGAGGAGGGAGGAGGTTGTACTGAGACTGAAGACTGGGCTGATCCCGTGCTGCCAAAGACGGTAGCCCCAGGCACAGTCTGCGTTTGCACGGGAATTGGTGACTGCCCTCTGGCCTGTATTTATGAGGCAAGTTTTTTAATCGGCCCGCTGTGCTCCCCAAAGTGCAGAGGATGATTCTCTGCTAGAAGAGAATTCTCTGCTAGAGGCTTCCAGCAACACAGCAATCGGAACTCAGACTTAACTTTACCTCTTCTATAATTTGGTGGTAAGGGGTCAGAGTGACGAGACTTGACAAGGTTACAAGATTAGTGACAGAGGGTCTCCTTTTAGCTCATAACGTTTTCTTTTTCTTTTAAAAAAAGGTTTATTTATTTATGCATACAAGAGCCAGGGTACAGGCCAGAGATGCAGGGGGTGAGAGGATTCACCAGAGACAGAGTGGGGAGCAGAACAGGTAGACTGACTGAAATACACGGCTGAGGGGAGCAGCGGGTGAGTCAGGCTGCCTAGCCCTGTGGATTGAGCCCTGGGCAGCCCGGGATCGAATTCCTGCTGCAGAAGGTACGGATTGCTTTGTAGTGCGGTGCTTAACCCCTTGCTCCACCAAGGAGGCCCTAGCCCCTAACGTTTTCTAAAATGCTAGTCTTTTGCTAAGTAGAACCCAATGAACTTTTACTTTTCCTTCAATTTCATCTTCTCCAACAGCATCTCCCTGCCCTGACCATGGTTACTTAATAGTTTGGCTCCTGAGTCCTGAGAGCATTCTGTATTCCATTTGACCTCTACCTGTTCTACCCTTACAGGAGCTCTGAATATTCATTAGTGGATGTTATTGCCAAACATAATCCCAGGAAGTAACACTTCTATTTTTTATTGGGAAGGTGACTAGTGGGGAAAGATGAGAGTAACAGAGGGAAGAATATATTTTATGTGACCCTCCTGGTGGCTGCTGTTAGGTTCTTTGACCTCACCAGTTATCTATTAAACTGCTGTAAGTGACAGCAGTAATTCTCCTTTGAACAATATCCTATAACTTTGTGGGTGAAGGTTTTTTGAGGGAATTAGAATGTCATCTGTGTTAAAACTTCCACTGGGGTAAAATAATTGTTTCCTAAAAGGTAAAGTTGGTGAACAAAGGTAAGAGATAAATTAGATGGTAGTGCATCTTCCATTTTGGTGAGGCAGAACCTAAGTCTTTTAGACTAGAAATCACAATACTTGTAGCTACCTCCTTTTCAACCTGTGGTTTGCTGTGCTACATTGTTTCTTCTGCTGGATCTTCCTTTTTTGTTTGCTTATATTCAAATCTACTCCCTTTACCAATAGCCATATATGTATATATACACAGACACAAATATGTACGTGTGGGTATGAAGTCTTTTAGAAAGACTGGTAAAGATAATTTAGGTTTGCTTGTTGACAGGCTGCAGAAAATAGGTAGGCTGCTCCCTGAATAGGCTTTGGTTGAGTGGAGACCAAGTTAAATATATTTGTAAGCTCCATAAGGGCATTGTCTTTTTTTGTCCATATTCAAAACACCTAGAAACCTCTAACACCTTAGTAGTGGTATTGTGGCATTTAAGGAAATTAAAAGCCTTAATGTTAGCTTTTCTGCGCTAACATTTCCTCAGATGTAACATAAACTGTCTAGGACATTGATTTGTTAGGAGAATTAAATGATAAGAGCATTTAGAATTGTCCCTAGCAGGTAAGTATTCAGTACATGTTAGCTGCATTAATGAGTAACAATTAGTTACAGCGTATGTGGATAATTGGTTCATTTATTTTTTGGCCAGTGATAGCTAGTTTGAAATCTTTTTCAGTGGTTCTCGACATTAATTGCACATTAAATCACTTAGGGAGCTTTTTATTTTTATTTTTATTTCAATACAAATACAAACCAAAAATAAAAAAAATGCACCTGTCATGAGTTTATAACTCAATGAACTTTTCACAACTGAACTTATCTAATAACTGGCACCCAGATCAAGAAATGAGATTATTGGCATACTAGTAGCCCCCCTCTTACCTGCATCCAGAACCATCCCTCACAAAGGTAATTAATATCAGATTTCTAACACTAGATTAGTGCTGCCTGCTTTTGAATTTTATATAAATAACAGATACTGTATAAATACTTCTGTGTCTAGCTTCTTTCAGTCAACATTGTGTTGCAGATTCCATGTTGCTTGTATGTATAGGTTATTTAGTCTCATTATTTTATTATATGGATATGCCACTGCATATTCATGGACATGTAGTTTTCTACTTGTTGGTGATTATATAGTACTGCTATGTGCATTTTTAAAAAAAATTATTTATTTTTGCATAGAGAAACTGGGGTCTAGGCCAGAGGTGCAGGGGTGGGGATGAGAGCATTCACCAGAGACAGAGTAGGGAGCAGAACAGGTGGATTTACTGAGATACACTGTAAGGGGAGCAGACAAGAGAGGTCTGCTGTGCCATATGTGGGTTAGCTCCCTGACCAGGGATTGAACTCAGGCGGTAGTGATGATAGCACTGAGACTTAACCCCTAGGCCACCAGGGAGGCCCCTGCTAAGTACACTCTTTTACATATCTTTTGGTGGAATATATAACATGTACGCTTCTATTGGTTACATATTGAAGAGTAGAATTGTGTAGTAATAGAACATGTGTGATCAGTTTTAGAAGTTGCCCAATATTTCCAAGGTAGTTTTACCAATTCAGACTCATAGGATGATTTTGAAAAATACCTATTTTTAGTGCCCACACCAGATTGATTGAATTGAAATTACTAGCAATAAGCCACTGGACTCAAATATTTTAAAAAACTTTTAAAAATTCTTTATGATTCTAATGCATGTTAAGGTTGAGAATCATTTACCTAAAGTCTTAAATTTAAATCCATTTCTCATCATTGAAGAACAGTATGGCAGTGATTTGGCCACAGGTATTGGAAACATTGTTTGGATAATGTGTCTGACTATGGAAACATTTTTTTGGAAAAGGCTTCCAGGAACCCAAAGGGTCTCTCAGGTACCGAAAGGGTCTCTCTGGCCAGCTTGCTCAGAATTAATGTACCCCTTTTACAGTGCCTGTTGTTGAGTATCAGTTTCTACTAACAAGGCATAAAAGACTATTAAGACTAGGATTCTTTTTGCTTACAGATGATTTTTCTTTAATATGCTTATAAAGTGACTTGTTCAGAGGCTGCCATATCTTGGCACTTTGGCCAGGATAGCTTGACCCCAGCAGCTGATACTGTTCACAGTTCCTCAGAGAGAATTCTAGAAGGGGAGACAACCTGTTTGGCTCATGAGGTAATACAGTTCCCAGCTCCTCTGCTGAGGCTTCTGGAGGCAGCTGACCCTTCAGCCATGGCCCAGGGGACTCTGAACTAGAAGGTGTTTCTTACCCCTTAAGTAGGTTGAGCTGAAGGTAGAGTCTCTGGGCTGTGTGTCCCCACTTTTCCTCTTTTGCTTGGCCAAGGTCACTTGAAAGATAAGTGAGCTTCTTACATTGTAGCCTGGCTTCTGGAGTTCCTAGAGAGGGTCTCTCATTCCACAAATTCTCAGGTTAGCTTTCTCAGTTGCTACCAACTGTTGGATCTATCTGGGGACAAACTTGCAAGCCTTCAAGTGTCCTAGACAGTTTCTTCCCTGAATTATAAAATCTCTTACTTGCTGGGAAGAATAGGACAGGGGATTCAACCTCCAGGCCTTCTCTCCTCCTTGGGCATCCAGGATTAGGACTGGCAGTTCCAACCCTTTAATAATATGGTTTTTTCCTCCTGACTCTTGACCCACATCCTTAAATGCTTCCCCAAAACCACATTCACCTAAAAAAAGACATCTTTATCACTCTCAACACTTAGGAAATTCCAAAGCTTTAGGGATTTGTGAGCCATAGTGAGTGACTTGCTCAAGAGTTCCAAGACTAGTGACAGACTCAGTGTATTTTCCTTCCTCCCCAAAGACTTGTCTGTCTGTCCCTTGCTTCCAGGAGTTGCAAACTTTTATCTAATGACTTATGCTCTCCCTGTGAGGAGATAGACGATCTGATTAATCTGTTTGGGAGATACCAAAACAATACTCTTCAGAAAGTCATTTCAAGGTGATAGTCCAATTTTGATTGGCTGGAGACAAGTCAAACCTTGCTTTGTTAGCTAAGCTTTTCTTTTTCCTTGAAAAGTTATTTCCCTCAAGCCAAAGCAGGAGAGGTACAGCTTTGGGTTGCTGGCATTTCTGTGAATGGTTTTGCCAGAACCTGTCAGAAACCTATCTCATTGCCTTGCATGACTTAACTTAATAACTGATCTTTTGTTTTGGCGTTGGTGCCCAAGTATTAGTCCTTATTTAGTAAGAGATATTTTAGACCTGAGTATTCTACCTGAAGTACTTTAGTCTTATCTAGAAGCAGAAAGCTAAGATCTTTGTGTGGCTTTTCTTATATAAGACATCTTGGCCTGCTCTTCCTCTCTGAGTAGTGACCCTCAGTCTACCACATTCTATACCCTTTTAAAATCCAACCTTCTATGAAACCTCTTTCAACCAGTTCAATCTGGTTTCCTAATGTCATTTTCCCCCTCTACCTCATTGGTTCTCAAACAGAAGGCAGTTTTGCCATCTTTCAGCCCAGGACTCACTTGACAAAGGCACATTTTCACCTTGTCTGGAGTCATATTTGGGAGAGAGGAGTGATTCTGTTCTGTTGACATGTAAAGGTAGAAGCCAGGGAACCCACTAAGTACCCTACATTGCATAGGACAGCCTCACACAACAAAGAATTATCTGGTCCAAGTATCAACAGTACTAAAACAGAGAAACTGATCTAGAAGCTTAAAATAGGTAGTTATTGTACCATTATGTATATGGATTTATGATGACCTTCACTCT